ATGCCGAGCACGCGCTCTTGCACGCGACCACCAGACCCGTGCTCGGATCCACCACCCGCAGCTCCGCCGGACAATTCCCGTTCAGATCCGCCACGCATCCGGAGAATCGGCAGTCTCCGACGCCGGAGATCGGTCGGATTCCGATTCCGACGTTGTAGCCGTCGACGAGGCTCACGTCGTAGAAGTCCTTCTCTCCGGGAGAGGAGGCGATGGTGAATTCAGCGAGGGAGACCGGTGGGATTCCTCCGCCGGAGCATTTTAGGGTTCCGCCGCAGTCTCCGGTGAGGCATCGACCGGTTCCGGTGGATCCGTCGAAGTTGCAGCCGGTTCGGGCCCAGAACCGGCCTGACCAGCCGGGAGGCGCCGGAAACTGTACGGACGCAGCGGGAGGAAGGGCAAAACCACCATCACCGAAGGCGGCGCCGTTGCCGGAAAGAATTCCCGGCCAAATTGTGTAGCTGCAGCGATTCTCCAGTGTGAAGACGGTTGCGGAAATAGATTTCAGACCTGCCATTTTTTGAGGAAAAAAAAATACGTCAAACAACAAAATCAGAATTGTTTTTTGTGAAATTCATGAAAATAATTACACAAACCATTTTTAAAAAAAAAACATGAACCTTAAATATTCGTATTCTCTTCACATTGTTAGCCATAAATCGAATAGAAGGTTATCAACTTATCATACGATGGTTATCAACGTAACATTATTTCCGACAAAATCGATCAAAAAATACATAAAAAAAACTACAAGTGAAAGCCACAATACCTAACAAGAAGGTAAGAGACAAGAGGTCAAGCATTGAAATCGCCATTAGGGTTTCTCTCTCTCTCTCGATGAAGAAGACGAAGAAGAATGGTGAGGTTGGATTGTGTGAAGTTACATTTATATAAGAAGGCAAGAGCATGACTTGTTTCCAAATCTTTTGAGCAAACGTGCTTTTCCTTTTCTATATTTTTTAACTTATTTGCAATTTCCATTCTCGTTTTCTAATTGGCTTATGATCCATCACTCAACTCGTGTGGTTTCTTGGTTTAATATTGTTCCTCCTCTTTAGCTTTCCCATGCCATATGTCCAATTTGGATCAAATCCAGTTTAACTTTGATTATAATGTCATTTTGGTTATATTTAAATCGATTTTATAAATCTGAAAACGTAAATATTCATCGTTTTTTACGTGTTTCATACATTTTATGGGTTTTCAGTTTACCTTTTTTGCACTTTACGTGATTAGGGTATTTTGTTAATATGCTTTTTTTAAATATGTATATTGTTTAATCGGAATATTTTAGTGATGCCATACGATGGTTACGATGATGGCGGTGGTATTGACTAATTTTTATGATTCATTAACTATATAATATACACGAATGAACATATTTGATGCGACAGACTTCAATTATAATTTTAGTCAATATTTTATTTCAGGAAAATTAATTAATCGACCCATGTTTAGGCCGGTGAAATCGAGACAAATACGCAGAATTAGTTAAATCCAGAAATTATTATGTGGAAAACAAGAAGAATCAATCCATGTGAGACTTCTTGGTTCTGTTTATACCGTCAAAACAAAAAAAGGGATACACCGAGAATCTGGAATCAACATCACACAAAAATAATAATTAAGCTGATTCGGTATGTGGTTGGTTTCGGATGGATATTAATCGAAGCCGAAAACTTAATAATTGAATTTAATTGAAAAAAACCCTCAAAATTTCTCAACTTGTATTTTTAGTAGAATATTAATTTCTAAACTTACAATATTTCTATTTATTCCCAAATTTATATTTTTTTAATATAACAATTATTAAACTTGTATAAGAATTCTATAATCATTCGTTTCACTAATGGATCAAAATAATGAATTGATCAGTTCTAGGTGACACGTGACATGTCGAGACAAATCAACAAGATGGTATCACGGAAGCAGAACCGATCTATTAGACATGGTTCCGGTTCATAGATAAGTCGGGTTTAATCAAACCAAATCATAAATAAACTAGATTTAAATGAACCGGATCATAAATAAATCGGATTTAAGCAAACCGGTTCGAATTAGGGGTGTAAAATGGGCGGACCGGGTCGGGTTCGGGCCGGGTTTAATTCGGGCCGGGCCGGTCCGCCCATTTATTTTTCGGGTCTAGGATCGATGGCCCGGAGTCCGGCCCTATAGGGCTTCGGACGGGTAAATAACAATATTTTTTCTACGATAATAATAATAATGTAAAAATATTAAAAAAAAAAAAGCAAACATAGTATAAAAAAGAAAATTATATGATATAATTAATTTGAAATATATAGAAAAAGAATCAATATATTCATATGTAAATAAAGGTTTAAAAATATATATATTTAAAAATTTCTACGTTTTTTAAAATATAAATTGATATATATATATAATGTAATATGATTAAAAAAATAAAAGTTTTCATCACTTTAAAAAGTGTTATTTGGATCTAAGATAAAATTTCGTCATTTGGTTAAAAGATACATATATATAAATATAGAACATGTGTTTGTTTATATGCATCGAAGAACAAAATCCAAACTACTAGTATGAAACAAAACCAATATACAGTGAAAAAAAAATATAAAACAAAAAAATTTAATCAAATAGCAAGTGTTAGGTTTGATTTAGTAAAAAAATAATACAAAAGATGATTATCATAATGCAATATGGTTAAAAAGAAATTAAGATAATCATAGAGAGTTAAAACTTTGGTTTAGAAAAAAGGGTTAAAAAAAAAATTAAATGAGCCTCAAGCCCGACCCGAGACCTGACTGGACCGCAGCCCATTTAGTCCGAAAGCCCGAAATTTAATGAGCCTATATTTTCTAGGCCCATGTCCTTATTATTTTCGGGTGGGTTCGGGCCGGGTTTCGGGCTCCGGACTTAATTGACATCCCTAGTTCGAATATAGAAAACCGAAAAAAAATCCGGGTTTAAACGACCTGATCCCGGTTTGAATATAAAAAAACCGGGTTTAAACGAACCTGTTCTCGTTTTCTATATTCAAACTCGGTTTTCTTTTACGTTTAAAATTGAAGAGCCGTGAAATCGAATATCAAATAATCGGTTTAAACGGCCAGCTCTAACCAGAAGAATAGCACTACTTAGTGACCCAACATACAAATTTTATCTTCTAATGCTAATCGCGTACTTATAAGACTGTCTATGTTTAAGTTGTTTCAAAATTATGGTAAGATTCTTTAACAAAAAAAATTATGGTAAGATATTATATACCCAAGAAACCTCTTCGTGTTTAGTTAGAGACTCCCCACGTGACAGACATCGACACCGCCCTTCAGCCATCTGCATGTCACGTGCTTCGTCGCTCCCCATGTCCGAGATTTTGAATGCATATTGAAATATATATATATTGGTCGAAGATAATACGATTGATTACGATAGGATATATAATTTTAGAAAACCCTGGTTTGTTTAAATTTAAATCAAAATAGAGACAGATATCATAAAACTTTCAAAACACATAAATTCCGAATTTATAATATAAACACGTCTGGTTTCAAAATATATTGATGAAGTATATGTGTTTGAAAGTTTTATAAATTTTCGAAATATATTTGTCATGTTCCAATGGATTCAAGTAAATATGTAAACGACTAGAAAGTCATACGCCAAATTGTTAAAACTAAATGTTTTATTTAAAAATCAACAATAATAATAATTTAAATGTTTTTTATGGAATTTTCAGTTTGGTTAACATCTTACAATAAAATATTTAATTAGGGTCATTTCGTATTCTCTTCCAAGTTCATAGATTTCGTTGATCGGCACCGCAAAATCCGTTCACCGGAGCGCCGTAGATGAACACGTGTCGGGTCGGAAGGTTGATTCGAATCTCCGCCCCCAACTCTGCCGTCCGCCGATTCGTTCCCTCGGCTGGAGTTTCCGCCGGTAACCTTAGATTCTCTTCTTTCTCCGATGGTACGGACGCCGGGAGCTTGGCTTATCGCCACGCGCGTGTGTTCAAGAAACCCATATCTATGAAGTTTAGATCTGGGCTGTTCAACTCCGTGAGCCTTGTGGGTTTCGTGGATCGTCCGATTCGAGTCCTCGATACCGAACCCGACAGGTTCGGCGTTTTCACATTGCTCAGAGTGAAAGACCCTCGTGATCAGAATCTCAGTTTTAGGTCAGGTTTGTTCAATTTTCGATCTCTGTTCGATTATGTAATCTCCGGTTTATGCAGCATGAGCTGAATCGTGAATCGTTGCGTTAGGGTTCGTGGGGTTTGGTAATTTGGTGAAGGGATTCGATTCTCATGCTGTCTAGTGACAGCGTCATTGAAATTTGACTTGTATTTGAATCTTCACATGTATCTCTCTTGTGGAATATTAATCTTTTACCATTTTGATCGGAGATCGAATTATGAAATTGTTGTCTTGCCAATGTGTGTGATTCGAACGCCTGCTCTGTTATTGACATTAGGACCATGAAAGTCTTGAAATTCCTACTGCATGAAGTTGACTGGTTTGATGATTGATGTTAATGGCAATTGAATTTGACATTGATTACAACCGGTGTTACGAAGAATTCATGCGTGCGACCCTAAATAAACTTGGGATTAACACGATGTTGTTGTTGTATTGATAAGTTTGGATGCCTATGGATGTATTTATAAAAGCTAATCTTAGTGAATTTTGCTATGATGCCTTGACAGGATATTTCTTCACATGTGGGATGGGTTAGCAAAGAAGTGCATTGCACATGTGAAGCCAAACGACCTCATATATGTGTCAGGTCGGCTGGTTTCTCATAGCATGAGCGGCTTCTATTACCAGGTATCTTTTCCCGAGTTATGTCTCTACTCTCTCGGGTCTCATGAATGTTTCTAGTTGTGTTGGTTTAGAGAAATTATGCGGGGGTCGTTTAAGGTGGTTTGTACACGTAAAACGTAGACCGATAAACGTTCCGGTTAGAAATGTAGAGAGGATAGGAATGGGAGTAAGGAGGAGAGGGAAGGGTAGACCTATATTGGCGTTAGCAATGACTTAGAGTTGTTGCAAATCTCAGAAGATTTAATCCAAAATCGAAATGAGTGGAAACGAAAAATTCATGTGGTTGACCCCAAATAAACATGGGATTGAGACGAGGTTGATGTATCATCTGTCCTTCGATAGATAATAGATTTCCGTTTCAGAGACCTCTACCTTACACTTTGGTAAGGATATGTTATACTGTTAGTAATGAGCAACTTCATGTGTTTTGCCGTATGGTATGCATTTCTTGTCATTAGAATTATCTTCATGTCTGATGTCACTGTCTCGTTCCTCTGTAACTTGATTGCAGGTGAAAGTGAATGAATTGAATTATGTTGTTCCAACCAGTCAGGATCCAGATTTTCAGACATCTGGAGAATCAAAACCAGAAACAGGTTCCACATTCTATCCATCATTCCCTGTAATATTGCTAGTGAACATGATGAAGCTCATTTCTGTCTGATGAGATTGTCACCATATTCCCACAAGAATTTTAATCCGGTTTCTGTTTCCAGATGATGGGAACTCATTAGATGCTGCGGAACGAACCGAGAATCGTCTTTACTTGTGGCAAGTGCTATTCGCAAACCCGTACGAGTGGTGGGATAACAGGAGGAGCAAGAAAAACCCGAGGCAGCCGGATTTTAAGCACAAAGATACAGGCGAAGCGCTTTGGTTGAATCCAGACGATCCCCCGTGGGTTAGAAGACAGCTTCAATTGCTCGATCGAAGAACGGCTGCTAAGAACGTCGATGGCCAGCAAGAAAGACATCATTCTCGTCTTTTCGAATGGATCTACGACGAATAGAGTTTGATGCATCATCTCTTTGCAGATTCTTAGGCAACTTGCAGTGTAGGTTCTTTGCTGTTTCTTGTGATCCCTTTTAAACCAAACCTTATTTTGTGTTAAATTAAACTTTCGAATACTCACAAAGCAGTAATCTGCATGAGTTTCTAACTACATTTCATTGACAAGCAGTGTACAATTAAACTCTTATATTATATATTCACATATGTATTTTTTTATACTTCCATCTATTTTAGGAAGTAAAAATTAAAATAAACTATACAGTGGAATAGAATAATTAGATAATTCAATAACATTTTTAGAAATATATCCATGTATGATTGGAAAGAGAAATCTAAAAATATTAAATATAAATAAAAATAAAATTGAATTTTTTAAGAAAAACTTTTAAAAAATTTCAAATTTACAATTCGATAGAAAACTAATTCATGAAATTGCAGATGTTCTTATTTATTTCTAAACTTGAAAAATTAGACACGATAATTTCTAAGCTTGCTTAGAAGTATCATAATCGTCTTAACAATAATTTTGACTAAAATAATATGTTTAACAATCCTGCGTGGCGCGTGAATTGTCAAGACAGATAAGACTTGTATGCCATATATGCAGAACTGGGTTTAACAGACACGATTTGACAAAATCGGTTCGTAATAGTGAAAATTCCGCTTCACCGGAAGATCTGGGATAACGATGAAGATCGGAATAATTACTATCACTATCGGTTCTCGAACTCTAGTCTCTAGATCCAAATCGACAGCATCTCCACCGAAATAGGAGTATTTGGCGTCAAAATAACAGTTATCGGGGATAAATCTCTTTCATTCTAGATTTTTCGGTGAGAACGACATCGTTCAAGAAAGAGACGCGACGACCAGAAACGACATCGATGAACTAAAAAAGGTAGAAACTAGATCAGATATAATTTGCTCATAATGAGCAAACCCAAAATCTTTGTAAATATAACCAATCACACCTATATACACATACCTATATATGTATCTATTTTTGTAATACCCGGAAATACCCTCCAAATTGTTAATTTTAGTGAACTGAAATTTGACAATTCATATACTACGTAGAATTGTTCAACACATTATTTTAGTCAAATTTATGGTAAAGATGATTATGATACTCTTAAACAAGTTTAAAAATGATTGTGTCCAATTTTTTAAGTTCGGGAATAAATAGACACACCTACAAGTTTATAAATTAGTTTTCCATCATATTGTAAGTTTAAAAATTTTAGGGTTTTTTTCTAATTTTTTAATACTTGTATTTTAACTATAAAATCTACTATTGAATATTTTTTTTCAGAATCTATGCATATGTTTTGCCAAATGTCAACAATTCGTGTTTTAACTTTAAGAACTACTATTATAGAATTTTCAGAATTCTATCTATTTGTTTTAGGAAATGGAAACAACTCGTGTTTTAACTATAAGAGCTAACATTACAGAGTTTACACAATTCTATCCATCAATTTTAAGAAATAAACACAACTGTGTTTTAAAGATAAATACTACCATTTTTAATTTTTATTATAAAATTTTATCCATCTATTTTAGGAAATAAAATAAAAAAAGTTGTGGAAATACTATATAAAACCCATAACTAAATACAACTATATTTTACAGATTATTTTTTTTTTTCAAAATTTTATCCATCTATTTTAGGAAATAGAATAAAAAAGTTATCAAGCGGATGCACTATATAAAACTCATAACAAACATCGTTAGTAGCATTCTTTCAATAAAGTGAATTTATTTACACGATATAAGCTAATACAATATCTCAAAAACAATCATATAGCAATTGTTCCTTACCAAGAAGATTAATTAAACATCACAAGACGGAGGATCCAACCATCTGGTAAGTCTCCGATTCACTTGCAGGAATTTCCACCTTTCCTAGAGAACACAACCATCCACAGGAAAAACAAAACAAAAAGCAGATAAGAACGAACTCCTTGAACCCAAACTCACATGCAACACATAAACATGCCAAGTACAGGAAAGAAAGATCCACCCGTTATTCAAATGACTGCCGTTACGGAGGGCAAGATCCTACTGCGAAAACCAAACAACTATGGCCGAGAATCCACAAATTTCTTATCCAATCCTCCATCATATATCATATCTACAATAATCTCCGTGGTTGATGCATCCGCAGAGAACCCACAGCTACGCATTTCGCGTACAAGCTCGACACCCATAGATGTATATCCATTTATGAGATGACCCCGAATCAACGCATTGTATGTGCGATCATTTGGAAAACAACCAGCCTCTTTCATATCTCTAAATAGATTTCCGGCTTCATCAAGTAAACCTTTTCTACAAAGTCCAGAAATCATTGCAGTATATGTTTTCACATTTGGCTCCACCCCTCTATCAAATAGCCCATTAAACAATCGCAATGCGTCCTCAACCTTGTCATCCATACACAAGCCATGAATGATTATAGTATGTGCGATTATATCAAGATTCATCCCACTCTTTTCCATCTTATTGTATAAACTCAATGCCTTTTCTAAATTTCCATTCTTACATAGTCCATCAAGCAGAACATTGAAAGTGATAAGATCTGGATGAGGACCATGACCCTGCGTCTCTAGAAAATGTTTTCGGGCAGCATCAAGGTTGCCTACTCGACAAAACCATTGGATGAGAGTGTTGTAAGTATGTGTATCAGCAACAACTCCTCTTTGAGACATCTCACTAAAGAGTTTCATACCGTCGTCGACCCTACTGGACTTGCAAAATCCATCTATGAGAGTGTTAAAAGTCACCACGTTTGGAGAACATCCCTTGGTTGCCATAAAATCAAACATTTTTTTCGCCTCATCAAGACGATTCTGCATGCAAAATCCTTTTATCAACGAATTATATGTGAAAGTATTCGGAACCAACCCTGTCTGAACCATTTGCTCGTAAAGTTTACTGGCTTCTAGAAACTTTCCCTCTTTAACAAAATTATCAATTAATCTGGTGAAAGTGACAACTTCAGGGATGATTTTCCTTTTGATCATATCATTCAATGATCGTGCGACATCACCCCATCTACCATAACTACAAAGACCATTTACCAAAGTGTTGTAGGTAACAATATTTGGCGTAACTCCTCGATCATCCATCTTTCTAAACAGATTAATCGCATCATCTATAAGTCCGCCTTTACAAAGACAATCTATAATCGTATTATAAACTACGACATTGATCTCAACATGCCTTTCCTCCATCTTGGTGATCAAATTTAAAGCTAGAGCGGAATCTCCCAACTTGCAAATGCCATTCACAATAGCACCATAAGTGAATACATTGGGTTGATAGCCTTTCTCTGACATCTGATCAACTAAAGTGAAAGCCTTGCGGATTCTACCTTGGAGACAAAGTCCGTTGACAACAGTGGTACATGTTACAACGTTAGGAGTATATCCATCTTCTACCATTCGTTCAACTAAGCTTAATGCCGCAGAAAGCTTACCCTCCAGACATAATCCATTGATGAGGGTGGTGAATGTGACAACATTTGGCTCGTAACCCATTTTTATGATTTTCCCCAAAACCGAAAATCCCAAACCCACTTGACGTGAGCGGCAGAAACAGTTGATAAGAATATTCAAACTGTAGTTGCTATGTGAAATCCCGTGCAATTCCATCCTCTTGCAAAGAGAAATAACGATATCGTACCGTTTCATTTTGGCAATTGCACTTAGTAATTTATTGAAATCAACGATGGAAGGGAGGGGACGAGATCGAACCATTTGGTCGAATACATCAACAACATCTTTCACATTACTATAAGGGACAGAACTGCTGAATCTCGGACGGAGATAGAGACAAGAGGAGAGATGAGAATGAACAAAACCTGAAGTAGAAGCAGAAGCCATCCTCCGCATCATCGCCGACATCTGAGTTTCGACACTAGGACAGGACAGATTCAGGAAACAGAAAACGAGGCAAGAGAGATGTGCAATTCTGGTTTGCCCTCCCCTATGATGAGCCCTAGACAAACGAAATGGGCCGACGACATCATAATCTACTTAAGGGCCCATATCTCTCTGCATGTATATGCATATTATATATATATATATATATATATATATATATATATCCGTATATATTTATGTATATATACATACATACCTATATATAAACATGTGATAATTATAGAGGTCAACCACAGGACGCACGTGCGCGGAGGACGAACGATGGCCCGAACAATTTGAGAAGAAAAAAAAAACATTATTAAATTTAAAAAGAATCTCGGACGGAGATAGAGACAAGAGGAGAGATGAGAATGAACAAAACCTGAAGTAGAAGCAGAAGCCATCCTCCGCATCATCGCCGACATCTGAGTTTCGACACTAGGACAGGACAGATTCAGGAAACAGAAAACGAGGCAAGAGAGATGTGCAATTCTGGTTTGCCCTCCCCTATGATGAGCCCTAGACAAACGAAATGGGCCGACGACATCATAATCTACTTAAGGGCCCATATCTCTCTGCATGTATATGCATATTATATATATATATATATATATATATATATATATATCCGTATTTACGTGCTTGGAGAAGAGTCATCATGTGACACATCCCTTGAAAAGCTCGGAGCGTTTAAACACCAAGGCCTTGGGTTTTGTTTAAATTTGAAAAAAAAAACATGCGATAGACAATTTATCATGCATCAAATTATAACCATTTTTCACCACAAAATAAATATATTAGTTTATCTCTTTTATCATGACCATAGTTGTTGTCACTTTGCTTTGGTAAATTTGTCTTCCAAGAAGTTTATTTTTATATAATTCGAAAGTACACCGAATCTTTGTTCCGACTAGATGGAGAAATCCATGTGAATGAGAATTCGAACAGATTACGAAGGAATTTTACTACTTTCCTTACCTGTTGAGCTATATAATCTTAGATTTTTCCAAAAAAATTTGGTAAAACTAGCAAATTCGGATAAAACCAAAGGAATTTTTCGAATGGACCTTCATTAATTTTAATGTTTTGTTCGGTAAGAAGAAATGATAATAATGTAACTATTTTGTTCTTCTTCCCCTGTGATCCACATGAAATAGTAAGCACATTAGTCTCTTCTGTCATGGTCGAAGTCCAAAGCTTGTGGTTTGTGATAAGCTTAACGGCGGTCCGTTTTCACGATTCCTTACAAAGCTTTTCATGCACTAAAAAAGGATGGGGAAAAAAACCCTCTGAAAAGCTTCGTTTTAGATCATTACAAAGCAAAACCTCAACAAAGAGGAAAACAGAGTTCATTCATCTTCCGAGCAAGACACGTTAAAGGCCAACCGTGGAACTTTATCCAATTTCATCGATCAGATCACTCCACCGCGTTGGGTCCATTGTTTTTTCTCCCAATCCTACACTGCCTAAACTTAGTATTTCCGTAAACCCGAAATTCCGAATGTTCATACATGAGAAGCACACGAGGACGAGGGTGAAAACAATGTCTTCAACTCATTGTACCGATTGAGATCGAAGCCATGAATCTCCATGAGCTTCTTTTGTTTCACCCCAAACCGCCGTCGGAAAAATCCTTCGAAGGAGGGCTCTGTGGAGGTCCTGAGGAAAAAGACGTACCCAAGTAAGAAATGGATGGACGCGACGAAGAAGCATATGGGCTCCATCACGTCCCAGCTCAGTTCCCAGAACGTCAGACGCATGAATCCTACGGTTTGTGCCGCCAGGAGGCCCAATCCGCAGTATAATTCCATCTGCACTCTCCCTCGGGCTTTCGAATCGATCATGTTCTTCGTTTTCTCGAGCTGGATTAGCTCCTCTTTCCTTGGATCGTTGGGGAGAGTTGATGTTTGGTTGATCAATGCTTCCATGGACTTGGCCATCTAAAAGAACGAAGAAAGAAGAATGATTCGGAGGAATTTTTAATTTTACAAATAACATTTGATATTCTTGGGTTTGAATCTTGTTTTTGAATTTTAATTATACGAAAATACGGTGATGAAAAATAGAATACCTGCTCTGGTCGGAGAAACACGAGGTCTCCTAAAACGATGACGTTTCCTGAATCGTCCAAGGACTTGGCCAATTCTAATCCCTGTTCGTCGCTCCCACAGCCCTGGCTACAGATTTGAACAAACTCCCAATACGTTACAGAGCTCTTCGGAATCTCCCTCAGCCTCGCCTTCATCTTCTCCACCTGATACATCCTCAACAGCTTCTTCGTCTCACTCACCGTCAGTCCACTACCGCTCACGGTGTCTCCGGTCTCCGGAATCTCATTTTCCGACGACATCGACGGCGGAGGCGGAGGAGGCAGAGTCAAGGCTTCGATCTGCCGTCGGATCCGGTTTCTGTCGGAGTCGAGACCCGTGAGTCTCTCCCTCAGTCGCTCACCCACAGGAAGAGAGAGAAAATCCGAGACATTCGCCGCCACAGGACGGTGGAGGAACCGCCGGAGAAATCCTCTGCTCTGGCCATTTTCCGGCGATGTCAGGTGCTCTCGTTGGATCTTCGATTTCGCCGGCGAGAAATGCTCTGGAGTCGCCAGCGAAGATCCGGCAGATCTGTAACCGTCGATGATACGCTTTGTGAGGGTCCTGCGAAGCGCCATTGACAGAGACAGAGAGAATCTCTTGGAGAGAGAGAGAGAGAAGATTCTTTTGATTCTCAATGAATTGGCTTTGAATTTTATCCCAGCCGTTGAGTCTTTATATATAGTCTCCCAAATCTAAGGGAGCCAAGATGAATTTCCTTTTTTTATATATTGATATTCTTTTTTTTTAAATGATTAACAGTTTTTTTTAGGAGAATCTCAACTCATTTGGCATGGAGCAGAGAATCTTAGACACTTGTTGTTAATCACCAAAAAAGATTCCTCTCTGTAATAAATATAATTATTACGTTTTTATTCACTTTTCCATTTCGGTATTTTAATACACTATTATCGATGCAAATTAAATGCGTGTTTTGTTCCTTTCAATCTGTGGAAATTCACCAATAGTTCGTAAAAGCAAAAGGCTTACTATAACATGAGAAATGGCGGGTTGAATTGAACCTATGACCATCTTTACCATCTCTAATAATCTTAAATTTTAATTTTTTTTATTTGTATGGTAAATTTTCATAATGTACACATCAAACTCGGTGTAATTTTATATCGATAATATAAGCAAAGAATCTTCTCAGAATATCACAATTTTTTTGCTGATCGGATTGTATCTATTTAATCGTATCGATGTTTCTTTAATTTACTCATCAACGATGAATTTACAATAAAATAAAATAAATTAGAGATCGCTAAGGTGGTAAATCAAATATAGGCATTTATTACAAAAAGACAAGAACCCGATGCTAATGGAGTCTAGGTGATCTAAAGAAATAAATGACAAACATGCCAAATACTCTATAATTATTTCCTCCGTTTCTCTTTCGATTTAGATTTTTCCTCTATTATATATATATATATAATATATATATATATAAAGTCATATTTACCTTTGTAATCGTTAATATTATATGATGAAGTTGAATATTTTTAATTAAAGATAAAATTAAACTTTTTTTTAACAAATTTACCTAAAACATCGAAAATAACATCTATTAAGTAATAAAAAAGATTCAACGATATCTATTGGAAACAGAACGAGTAATTCTTTTATGAAAAATAGGAAAAAATGTTATTGGTATGATTGTGAATATGTTATTTTAATTTGTACATTTCCAAATAAATATAAAAATAGAAAAGGAAATATTGTAGAAGTTGCCAATTGGCAAAAAATGATAGGCACAAAAATTAGTAAATCAAAGAGAGAGGTTGGTGAGGCCATTGGCTGGTTTCCCCGTTGGATACGAGTTCGATCCAATATTTAAATTTTAAAATTACACGGATCAAAACGATTTGTAGAGTTTAATCACATGTCAATGACAAGAGAATAGTTTTTTTTTTAAAAAAAATCTATATATTTTTAAATTTAAAATTGTTGAACTTGTGGTGAAGGTGAAAACTTAGGGTAATTAAACATTTATCCAAATACTAAAAAAAAATACAAAATCCTCTAAAACATTCTATAAGCATAGCATTATGGGAATGGACCACCGAATAGTAGTCTTGGAAACGCAAGTCTAATCGAAGAGATACAGACGTACGTATCGAAACATTTCAAAGAAGAGAGGGACATGCAACCAACTCCACTTGTAAAGCCACATATATTGGATGGAGAAAAGAAAAGGTTGATGACAACATGATTCACAAGTAAATAGATACAAGTTTCGAATTAGGCTTGATTCACGTTTTTGTTGTTGTTGTTATTAAAGAAAATAGCCAAAAAAAATCACAAAACTTTCAGAAAAATTTCAATATAAAAACATGAACTTTATATAATTTCTATACAGAATCTTGAACTTTATTAGTCTTGATATGTTTTCATAAAATTCATAAGATTATGATTTTTTATGAAACTTGAAAAATCTGTAAAGTTAGTTAATATTTTGGAATATAACAAAAATTTATAAAATTTATGATTTTATATAGAAATTACAAAATTCATGTTTTTATAGAAATTCGTGGGTTTTTTTTTAACTCTTGTCCCTTAGTATTATTATTGATAATAAAGACATAATGTTTTTTTTTACAATTTATAAGATATTAATATGAGAAAAAAAACTCAGGCCGAATAATAAATATATCAGCATATAAGTTCTAAATTATGTTAATTTCTACAATTTTAATTCTTCGCCGCAAATTTATACGTGAAAACAATGTAAAATTGAAAGATTTCAAATCACAATGGCAAAATTTATTTCATGAACAAATTTTGCATCTTCAAACTTCAACTATGGGAATTCGAGAGACGATATGCGATAACGCAGATGGAAAGAGCAATCATCGGCAAAAACTCTATTATTATTGTCTTTGTCTATGAAGTGGGCATCCCCAAAAATATTTTGAGGGGCTATGGTTTGGTTATCCTATTATACAAATTTTCAAGATAATTTTTAAAAACTTGTAAGCTAGATAAAAACATTGAGAATCCTCAAAATTCGCAATTGATCCGGTTTTAATCACACACTATGAATTAATGATATTGTGCTGTGGCTTGTATTATTTGCAACTATATGTGGGAGAATCTAATTAGGATTGATATTGGAACAAAAGAAACCGAAAAAAAAATCGATATCTTATAAATATCACGAGATCAAGTTAAAGATGCAGAACTTAAAACAAATCATGTATAGAAGTTTATTTCTATGTAGAGTTTGTTTTTTATAACGGATGGAACTACCACAAACTCTTCGTATGCAGAGTAAATCCAATATTCTCACGCAATAGCTTACAAATCACGTAAAATAGATATACCAGTAGAAATTGACCAACTCAGAGAAAACTCATGATCTGAAGGGTTGAACTCATGACCTATGGGACAGATGATACCCCTAACCAGACTCTACAACCAGAGTTACAACCGTTCGTCCTCCGCAAAATTGGGTAAAACTTGTTTCGTTAGTCTTTTATGTTTAAAATTTTGCCTCTAATGGAAAATAAATGCATTGCAAAAGAACATAACTTGAATCACCACCTTTATGTTGTTATAATCATAATGAAAATCTATTTTAAATGCACCCTTTCTACAGGGTACTCAAAACGATATCTCGCTCTCTTTTTTTTTTTAAAAATCTTATCAGGGGGTAGTTTTTTTATTTAAAAAAAACATACATCAGAATGTTTATTTCTTTTGCCCGAACATCCTTGTGCTTCTATGAATTGAAACATGGAAGGAATCAAATATCATCAGAAAAAAATTCTAGTAAAATACATTTAATAATTTCTTTAAATAAGCATTTCGATTTTAGTTACGATTTTTTTATTCAAATATGTAACAATGGACACTTTTTTCAGCGAGTTGGATCGTTCTTTCGGCAGCAAGGTGACGGTTCTCCGACCTTCGCCAGTAACGATATATTCTAATAATTTATTAATAATTTTTATATACAATAATTTATTAATAAATTTTTTTAAAGAAAAAAGCATGGGCAGCATTCCAATATATATATATGTATATATATGCGCGTTAGAGTATAAAATGTAGAGTCCGTGGCATGCATTGCAAAAAATGTAACACAAATCCACTACCTTATATTATAATCCATATTTATTTAGTTAGGGATACTGGACGTGGAGGAATGGAACTGCGAATTGGCCTCAGAATCAGTACCACGCTTCTTAATTAATTTTTAATTTTTATTCGTATTAATGGGAAACTTAACGGGAAAAAAGATAATGGATTCATATGTAAGGATACTTACGTAAGCAAGTTGAAACCCGTGAAATTATAATAATTTTAAAAGACGGATAAATCAAATTCAAAATATATCGCACTGAACTATAAACGTTGTGGAATACTAATAATCTTTAAAATTATTAAAGAATATAATTATCGTGAAAACTAAATCTTAAATTAAAATATGTATTTAATATATAATTAAAAATAATATTTTGAAACAAAACTATTTTACTAATCTACAAAACCTATTTTATAAAATAAATGAAAAATGTCATTTTATCATTTTGTATTTCCATTTTAGATTATGATCTTGGCAATTTTTTCTTTAAATTTAGATATTTAAAATTGTATGATGATAATATTAATATTAGATTAGATTCTTATGCCGCCTATCCGGAACGAATATATGCATTTCTAAAATCTCACAAGAATTTCAACTCCCAAATCATTAAATCACACAAGAATCTACAGAAATTTATTCTTGGAATATTCTTTTTTATAATTTTTAAACAAGATTTATTCATTTTGTGCCAAGAGATGGATTTTTATTTACATAGTTGGTCGTGAACTGTAAGAGAATAAAGAATAAATAAGTGAAGAGTACCAACAAGTTGACAAATTTATATGCTAGTGAATGTGTGTGTGTATATATATATTGTATGAAAAATAAATACATATTACCCGGATACGAAAAATCAAATAATAATTGTTATTATATGGAAGGAAGTTCAATTATTTTAACCTTTATTATATTATAATTACATTTTTATTTTGAACTTTTTATGTATGAGAAATCCAAAGTTGAATAACTCAACAAAACTTTGTGATAAAAACACATAGATTCGATATATTTTTTATAATGAAATTAAGATGATTAATATAAATGTAACATTTGTAATTCTTAAAAAGATTCAATATGCAAGGAAATCAAATAGGGGTTTGTAATCTGTATTCTAAATGAATTTTAAAGTAGATAAATTTTTATTACATCGAGAATGATATCGTCATTGTTTTATATACAAATGTTTATAATTTATACAAACTCCATTACCATTATAGTAATAAGATTTTTTAAAATAAAATAAAAAATTTGATATATAACTTGAAAATATTTGTTTCCTATTCGTAATTTCTTATTAAGTGAATCAACTACTTTACAAGATGCATGCTCATCTTAGAAGAATTTTTTCCACCGACCCCTCGAACTTATATTATGCAAGCAAATGTAAGTGGGAAATCTAGTACTCCCATTTCAATTTTCCACGTGGATAATGGGACCAAACCCACAATGTCTTGTCATGTTTTATTGGTTGCCTTAATGTGCTACATAACATTCACTAGGCATATCGGTTCGTCACTCTTCCCATAAATTAGGGGTTTCTCTATTTATTTTTTTTACAATTTAAAAATTTATGGTGTATTTGGTCTAATTATTTCTCTAAGAATATTAAAAAAATTCATGTGAATATACCTTTTCAAATGACCATTCGAATTTAGATTGAAAAAGAGTTTTATCCTAGTTTTTACCGTTGACTCATCCAATCTTGGATAATTAGAGTTTTTTCATTTCATAATGAATATATAATTCATTATATTCGAAAATATTATTAAGAAAAAAACCCGCATATCGTATTTCCTTATATCTTTAATTATATGCCTCCATGTTGTTTTTATTCTTGAAAGATAAACAAAATGATTTATTCTATCTATGTCTACTTAGAGAATATATTGTTATTTATGAATAAAAATTCGGATTTGATGTGATTCATTTCTCTTAATATAAAGCTGAAAACTAGTATGGTACAATATATTGACAAAAAAAAATATTCTCACCACTTATGTTGCATATCTTTTTTATACCATTCATTGTAAAACACACAGTCTAACCGGACCGACGTATCGCTAGTGCAAAGAACCTCACTAACAATTATCACAATATATATATATACACACATATATATATATATATATTGGATAATTCAATTGATGAAACGGCAGCGTTTAGCTTGTATTCCGCTCCAAATTTAATTTTTTTTAGAATTAGACTAGATTTCTATCTAAATACCTAATTAAAATACCCAATTAAAAAAACACAGAAACACGTTTGATTTTATTTTTGGATATTAAATAAATGAAATAGTAAAGTCAACTGAGAGAAAAAAAAAATCCTCTCTGTCCCTTAGTTCGCATTAGGTAAAATCCCAGAACTACCCCTTGAGCGGAAACGCGATAAATCATTAACTAAATTAACTAACAATCAATTGAACACCTCAAGAATTTCATGGAGTTTTGGGTTTAAAATATGTAAAGGAATAATATTCGTAATAAAGGCTACTCTATTAGGTTAATTATCAAATACATTTTTCTTTGGTATTTGGAATTTTTTAAGTAATTCAAATAAAAAAAATAAAATCTACCAAAAAATAATTATAAATTTAAATACGAAAAAATATAAACACATATTAGATATATGCATATATATATAGATGGAAAGTTTTTTTTATTTAAATTTATAAATAGAATCTTACATCGCGATAAGTGATGTTATAATTTATTTAGTGTTTTCTGTATTGATTGTAAATATGAATCTGATTACATAAATAAAAAATAAAACAGCAAAATTTGAGCTAAGAAAACACACAAATTAAAAGGAAAAATAAAAAAGAAAGGAAATTGGAAAATATTTATGCATGTTGTAATCGGATTCATCAATGGTTGCTGTTTAATCTCGTTTTGATACATATAATATTTATGCATGTTGTTTTTTGAAAAACATTTAGACATGGGAAATACAATTAACTCCTAAATTTGAATATTCGGATTTTTTTTTGTGTACAAATATCTATCTTAAACAATATTAAAAATGTATAATCAAGAAAAAATAATAATGGATTTAATGGAATATGTGTATTCCTTTGCAGCAGACTTTTTAAAAATGTGTGATCCGACTAGACAATTCAATATGCAGGGATTCAACTTTCAAGCATCATTCCTTTTTTTTAATTATTATTATTATTGATTTTATTAAATAGTTGCTTTGGATTTACGTCCACTAAACCCTTTGGAAAGCCTCAAATCACACATGGAACCACATTTAACTACTCCAAAGAATCGATTAGTTTATTGCTTATCCGAATTCCAAATTTTAATCTAATAACGTCAAATTAAATGTGACGATCTTATATTATGAAATGATATATGATTTAATTTCTCATTCCGTATAAAAAAAATAAAAAATCGTTTAACGGTTTGATCCTTTTTTTTTTTTTAACCAGGTGTCCTGGATCAAGAACTAAACTAATTTCGAGGTTAGAAGCAAACTATATAATCAGAATATATGCTCTCCTCTTCATTCTAAATTCATGATCAATGATATGTAACATTTAAGTATATAAATCGTGAATGCTGAATAAAACTTCAATCATATAAAAAATATATAATATATTCAATGTAAATGTCTCAGTACATTTGATTTTTGAGTATTAATTAGCTAAATTTCAAAAGTATTAAAATTAACTCATTCGTAAATGATATATTTGTTAACTTATATTAATATAAATTTTATAGTGTCCAACATAATAAACGGTCACTGGAATTGCTCGGCATGCACCAATCACTATGTATTGCTTATGAGCTAATCATAATTCGCACCACATTATTAATCAAGCTTAACATTATAATATTTATATGCCTAAAAAATAATTGCAAAAACTCGAATTAGCAAGTCTGATCATACTTAAGAGAATAATATAAAATAGCAAATGAAATCTGATTCAGACCAATACGTCACACTTTATAACAATTATATTTATTTATTCCGGATTTGTTTTCCTTTTGGCTGTCAATTTCGCTTTCACATATACCATATAGATATTACATTTTTCTATGAGTGAAATAATTGATGAACAATTGGAATGCTATTCTTTTTTTTTCTCTGACATAAGAAACAATTAGCAATATTTAAATTATTTGTTGTTGACAACATTATAGTTATTCCTTTACTTGTATATATATAAGTATGTATGCTTTGACACGTGACATGACTGATATGAGTGCTAAGGGCTTACTTGATCATCAAGTTAACCTCTCCGTTCCATTAGGGTTAACAAAACACTTGCCCCTTCTCCTATTACGACGTTTTTTTAATTGTTTTTGTTCTTAATTTTAGAATCTTGTAGATATTCTGATAAGAGAACATTTTATTTCTGAATGCACAAAAAAAGTTATAAAAAATCACAAGTAAAAAAAAAATCCAAATTTCTGAACAAAGACGTTTTAATGGAAATCAATATAAAACTTTCAATTTCCAACTTCAATTTCGTGGAAAATAATGACCATGGATTCAATTCATTTATCGACAAAGAACAAGAAGACAGCGCAAAATATAAATTCGTAAAAACTTGACTATAATCTTAATAATAATTCTATATAGGGGAAAAACCTTAAAAATTCTTAAACTTGTATTTTGGAATAATATTAATTCATAAATTTGTAGAGGTGCCTATTAATTTCTAAATTTGTAAAATTGAACATATTAAATCCTGAACTTGTTAAACGGTTCCATAATCGTCCATAGCGTTATTTGGTAAAAAAAAATGAGTTGAGCGATCCGATATTGCGCGTGACGTGGCGAACCAACTCAGAAAATTACCGCCACGTCGGATCGATCAACTCGTTTTTTTACTAAATAACGTTATGGACGATTATACAATCATTTAACAAGTTCAGAATTTAACGTGTTCAATTTTGCAAGTTTGATAATTAATAGGCACCTCTACAAGTTTAGAAAATAATATTATTTCAAATTACAAATTCATGAATTTTTAAGGTTTTTCTCCTTTTATATAATATCTAAACTTGACTAATTCAACTAGTAAAAAAGAGAATAAAATTTCTTTCTAATTCATGTCGAGTCTCGATTTAGCGAGAAATATTTACCTGAATTTTTCTTATTTTCTGAGAGATGTAATTGGTTCGAAAATCTAGCAAATTTTCGGATTAAAAAAAAAAACTCTATATAATAACACATACCCATACCAAAATGAGCCTTGTTTTGATACGCCAAATTCAAGCATATGAATGCGAAGATTTTCCATAAAGATTATCACATTATTAAAAAAAAATATCATGTTTCTGTACGATGCCTATTGCTAAGTAGAAAGAGGTAATAGTTTTATTTTTCTTTGTTAAGATTACGAAAACCGAATGTAAATCAACGGTCATTATTCAATCATCTTTATCTTTGTCATTTAAAAAAAACACGTGTAAATCATAGATCCATACATATACGGATTTTATAAAACCGAATAATATGATTTTTTTTAATCCGATCCATTTTTTTTTTCTTAAACTGAAATGACCATTGCCAACCCAATAAACTCCATAAATAAATCTAATTGGATTTAAGAAATAAAAGCTTGGATACATATTTCCCATAAACATGAGGCCCAGCGGGACATCTTCTGATTTTTTTTTTTTGGATCGTCATTAGCCCATTTAAGCTTCTGATTTTGGGCTTTCTTCCTCCCATTAACAACACATCTAATTTCGTTCTAGGGTTAGGGCGCATAGCAGAATTTCAATCTCCCTGTGCTCTATTCCTTTTTCCGAATCTCCCTTTTATTTCCTTCTGAAACTGAAGATGCCGCCGATGGCTCGGAGAGTGGTTGCTGTTACATTGCCCGTTGCATCAGTTTTCATTCGTACGGACAGAGGTATTCTCTACATAGTTTTCCGATGTTCCTCTGTCTCGTTTTGTCGGAGGTTGGCTTATTCCTCTGTTAGAGACTCCGACAGTTCGTACAGAGAAAGATTGAGGTTTGGGTTAGCTAATGTCGATGAGGCTGTTACTTTGTTCCGTCAGATGGTTCAGTCTCGGCCCTCCCTTCAATTATCGATTTCAGTAAGTTATTGAGTGCAGTGGCCAAGATGAAACGGTACGATATCGTGGTTTCACTTTGCAATAGAATGGATTTGATCGGGGTTCCACATAATCACTACACCTTGAGCATTCTGATCAACTGTTTCTGTCGCTCTGGACAAGTACTCTTAGGATTTTCGGTTTTGGGCAAAATCATGAAGTTGGGTTATGAGCCTGATGTTGTCACATTCAATACCCTAATCAATGGATTCTGCATTAGAGGTAAAATTTCCACTGCGATGGGTTTGATGGAACGAATGGTGGATGTCGGATATAAACCTAACGTCGTAACATTTACCACTATCGTCAATGGACTTTGTCTTGAGGGTAGAATCCATGAGGCAGTAACTTTGATTGATCGAATGGTAGACAAAGGTTGTCAACCCAATGTAGTTAACCTCAGGGCATTTGCAAGTTAGGAGATTCTTCTTTAGCTTTGAATTTGATCAAGAAGATAGAGGAAAGGTGCATTGAGGTCAACGTCAAAATTTATGGTACGATTATCGATTGTCTTTGCAAAGATGGTAAAATAGATGATGCACTTAGCATTTTCAATAAGATGGATGATCAAGGAGTTGCTCCAGATGTTGTTACCTGTAGTGCTTTGCTAAACGGCCTTTGTCGTTTCGGTAGATGGAACGATGGCACACGATTATGGAAAGATATGATCAGAAGGAAAATCAGGCCGGATATTGTTACTTTCAATGGATTCATCGATAGTTTTATTAAAGAGAGAAAGTTTCTAGGGGCTAAGGAACTATATGAGAAGATGATCCAAAGAGGTTTGGTTCCAGATATCGTTACTTATACTTTGTTGATTGATGGGTTTTGCATGCATAATCGCCTTGATGAGGCGAGACAAATGTTCGATTCCATGGTTACCATGGGATGCTTTCCAAACGTCATGTCGTTTGGTGCTCTCATAAATGGGTACTGCAAATCCGGCAAAAGTTGATGAAGGTAAGAAGCTCTTAACCGAGATGTATGAAAGAGGATTGGTAGCTAATACACGTGTTTACAACACTCTCATCCATGGATTTTGTTGAGGGGAAAACCTTGATGCTGCCCATAAGCTTTTGCTAGAGGTGCGATGCGGTGGTCCTTGTCCTTATAGAGAAATACAGCCTAACTCAGAATGGCAAAAATATCAGTCTTATCTGACAAAAGGAAGACATAAACACAAAAGCTTCAAGCCTGGTGATGTGTGTGTGCTTGCTTTGTAAGAGAAAGAGACAGCAAATGTAAGAGAATGGTGCAATCTGCAAAGAAATATAAGCCGACTTGTGGTGATGATGTGTAACAATGAGCATCTCTCACTCTGTTTTTTTTTCCCAACTTACATTGATGATGATGATGACGATGGTGAAACACAGACATGTACACATTTCTGTGTCCTTGGGGGATGAACCCTAATGATCCATTTCTCTGTGTCCCCATCATATAACAATGACAGTTCATTTTTCAGTGACTTACAACGTTTTGCTTGATGGTCTATGTAAAAATGGAAAACTAGAAGAGGCATTGGAATTATATGATGAGATGGAAAAGAGTGGGATGGACCTCGATGTAGTTACACATGCTATTATCATTGATGACTTGTGTAAGGCTGAGAGAGTTGATGAGACATTGCTGTTGTTTAATAGGCTTTCCGGTAAAGGGGTGGAACAGAATGTTGTGGTGTATACTATAATGATATCCGGACTTTGTGGAAAAGGTTTACTCGGTGTTCAGAGATATGAGAGAGGGTGGTTGTTTGCCGAATGGCACTTATAATGCAATCATCCGGGGTCATCTTAGACATGGTTCTACATCGAGCTGATGCGAGAAATGCGAAGGTGTGAGTTTTCTGCTGATGCATCAACCATTGGTATGGTAATAAATATGTTATTCGACGGTAGATTGGAGAACGGGTTTATGGATCTTCTTTCTTAGTGGTTGGATGCTCACCTTATACTCTGTCGTAGCAACCAGCAGAGGTGAAGTACTCTATCCTTTATTCAGGGTTGTTGTTTCCTTCTTGCGTTTTGTATTTAAAGCATCAGTTTGTTTTAAGAATGCGTAAAAGTTTCAAAGGTCGCTTGTAATGTCAGTGGTACATTCTCCTAATTGAACCAACAAATCAGTTCATGCATACAATCCAGACTTTTTGTTATAATTATTTGAATCAAAACTCTTTATATTGAATATTGCAACTGAAGTATAAATATGGCTAAACTATTTATGATGATGATGATGATGATGATGATGATGATGATGATGATGATGATGATGATGATGATGATAATAATAATAATGTGTTCAAGGAGTTCTTCTTCTTCTTCTTCTTCATGTTTTCTGCGTTATGATCCCAAATCTTAAATCCAAACCAAATAAGGAATAGAGTAATTTGTTTATCAGAATTTGCAGTAGCAATTACATGTTAGTACAGCAATGGTAATAAACTTACAACAATGTCACCATTGATTAGATTGTCAAGATTTGCAGAATAATATGATATCTTATTCATAACCTATAAATAAATGAGAATTTCAAACTAAGTAAATACAAATATCTATAAATATTTCTAAATATCTATTTTTCAGATTTGATAAAATATCCCATATATCTCGTAATAATTTTATTGTCTATCGAATGTTTCAATGTTTTTTTCAAACACGTAAATACGGAAATATATACGTATATATACGGAGAGAGAGAGAGAGATGGGCCCTCACCTGGATGTCGTCGGCCCATTTTCGTTTTCTAGGGTCAGAAGAGGCAAAGCAGAATTGCATCTCTCCCTCCCTTCCCTCATTTTCTGTTTCCTGAGTCTGTCTTAGTGTCCAAACTCAGATGTCGGCGATGGCTCGGAGAGTAGCTTCTGCTTCTACTTCAGGTTTTGTTCATTCTCATCTCTCCTCTTGTCTCTTTCGCCGTCCGAGATTCAGCAGTTCTGTCTCTTATAGTAATGTGAAAGATGCTGTTGATGTATTCGACCAGATGGTTCGATCTCGTCCCCTCCCTTCCATTGTCGATTTCAATAAATTACTAAGTGCAATTGCCAAAATGAAACGGTACGATATCGTGATTTCTCTTTGCAAGAGGATGGAATTGCACGGGATTTCACATGACAACTACAGTTTAAGTATTCTTATCAACTGTTTCTGCCGCTCTAGTCAAGTGGGTTTGGGATTTTCGGTTTTGGGGAAAATCATGAAAATGGGTTACGATCCCGATGTTGTCACATTTAACACCCTCATCAATGGATTATGTATGGATGGTAAGCTTTCCACAGCATTAAGCTTAGCTGAACGAATGGTAAAAGATGGTTATACTCCAGACGTTGTAACATGTAATACTGTTGTCAACGGACTTTGTCTCCAAGGTAGAATCCGCGAGGCAGTCACTTTAGTTGATCAGATGTCAGAGAAAGGCTATCAACCCGATGTATTCACTTATGGTGCTGTTGTGAAGGGCATTTGCAAGTTGGGAGATTCCGCTCTAGCTTTAAATTTGCTTGCCAAGGTGGAGGAAAGGCATGTTCAGGTCAATGTCGTAGTTTATAATACGGTTATAGATTGTCTTTGCAAATGTGGACATATAGATGATGCGATTAACCTTTTCAGAAAGATGGATGATCGAGAAGTTGTGCCAAATGTTGTTACGTACAACACTTTGGTAAATGGTCTTTGTTGTTATGGTAGATGGGTTGATGCCGCACGATTTTTGAATGAGATGATCAAAAGGAAAATCACCCCAAATGTTGTCACGTTCACCGGATTAATCGATAATTTTATTAAAGAGGGGAAGTTTCTAGAAGCCAGAGATGTTTACGAGCAGATGGTCCAGAGAGATTTGGTTCCGAATACTATCACTTATACTTCGTTGATTGATGGACTTTGTATGCAGAATCGCCTTGATGAGGCAAAAAAAATGTTTGATTTTATGGCTACCAAGGGATGTTCTCCAAATGCAGTGACTTTTAACGTTCTCATAAATGGATACTGTAAGTCTGGTAGGGTTGACGAGGGTATGAAACTCTTTAGTGAGATGTTTCGAAGAGGAGTTGTTGCTGATACATGTACTTATAATTCACTCATCCAAGGGTTTTGTCGAGCAGGCAACATTTGTGCTGCCCAAAAGCTTTTCTTAGAGATTCAGTGTCATGGTCAATATCCTGATCTTGTAACTTTCAAAGTCCTGCTTGATGGGCTATGCAAGAATGGAAAGCTAGAAGAGGCGTTGATATTGTACAATAAGATGGAGAAGAGTGAGATGAACCTCGATATAACCGCACATAATATAATCATTCATGGTTTGTGTATGAATGGCAAGGTTGAGGATGCATTGCGATTGTTTATTGGGCTTTTTGATAGAGGGGTGGAACCAGATGTGAAAACATATACTACAATGATTTCTGGATTTTGTAGAAAAAGTTTACTTGATGAAGCCGAAAAGCTATTTAGAGAAATGAAAAAGGCTGGTTGTTTGCCAAATGATCGCACATACAATGCGTTGATTCAGGGTCATCTCAGAAATGGATGTACATCTACGGGTGTCGAGCTTGTACGTGAAATGTGTAGCTGTGGGTTCTCTGCGGATGCATCGACCACGGAGATTATTGTAGATATGATACACAATGGAAGATTGGATAAGAAGTTTATGGATTCTCGTCCATAGTTGTTTGGTCGTCGCAGTAGGATCTTGCTTTCTGACTGCTGCAGTCGTTTGAATAACAGGTGGGTCTTTCTTTCTTGTACTTGGCATATTTATGTGTTGCATGTCAGTTTGGGTTCCAGGAATTCGTTCTTATCTGCTTTTCGTTTTTTTTCCTGTGGATGGTTTGTTCTTTAGGAATGGTGGAAATTCCTGCAAGTGAATTGGAGACTTACCAGATGTTTGGATCCTTCTTCTGGTGATGTTTTGTTAATCTTCTTGGTAAGGAACAATTGCTATCCTTATTACTATATGATGTTTTTTTTTGGATAATTTATAAGTTCACCCAACCTTTGACCAAACTAGGAACTTTGCTCCCTTCCTCACATTTGAGCTAACCAATCTTGAATCCAAACCCATGTTTTTGAATGAACTAATGGAGATAGTTGTGTGTGTGGAGATAGATTGAAACGGTGGATGAGCTGATGGAGAGGGAGACGAGGTAATCACTGCCGGAGGAGAGAGGAAGAAGGAATTGTCGTTGGCGGCGGCAGACTGAGGAGTTCCTGCAGAAACCAGACAAGGTCGGCGCCATTCTCCATGCTCTCTCCCGTTTCCCCTCTCTTTATGTATCTCTTACTGTGTATGTGTGATCAAATCAAGGGATTCAAGAAATGAGAGATGAGAGAGATGCTCGAAGAATTTTTTTATGGCTGATGAATTTGATACAGCTTCAAGGACATAATCGGTTAAATTTGGAGTTTAATCTGTTTAACACCTTAGTATATATAATCGGTTTTAATTAAATGGTTTAATAACCTATATTACATTTAAATTGATGACTTGGAAAAAATATATTCAAATTCATCCAAAATCATTCAAAACATTTATACATATATATATATA